AACGACCACCCAGTACACCATAACCACATAGCAATACCCTAGTAACCCCCAGAATTCCGTAGTACCCGTTTAGCAACACTTTAGCAACCATCCAGAACACCATAACCACTTAGCAATACCCTAGTAACCCCCGAAATCCCCTAGTAACTGCTTAGCAACACCCTAACGACCACTCAAAACACAATAACCACCTAGCAACACCCTAGCGACCACCTAGTACCCCCAGTACCCATTTAGCAACACCCTAGCAACCACCCAAAACACCTAAGCAATGAATCAGCTAAGAAAAGCTGTCTGGCTCACTTAACTTCATGGAGCTGTAATGAGCATGAGCATAAGGAGGCCTCGGCAAGTTCATGAGAGGCTGAGAGATCAGGAGGGTGTGAACCTGGTGTCAGTCAGCAGGACGTGTGGAGTGATTTCAAGCCCTCTATCCATTATGCATGCTGCGAGGACTCGCTCCCTGATCTCTCTCGACTGGCACCAGCATCACGACACTCGGCTTACAGCTCACACTCAGCTTACAGCTCACAAACACTCTGCCAACAGCACCTCCACAGGGAAACATGGAGAGAGGAGGAGAAACGCCAGCATTTAAGAGCTAAACAGCACCAGAGACAGCCAGAGAGAGAGAGAAAGACGGAAATAAAAGGGATGGAATACTCATTTACAGGCATGGGAAGGTCGTGTATCAGCTCGGCTCCAGCATTGAAATGTCAGATCAGTTTCTGGGCGAGCGAGCAGCTATTCTCTCTACTGTAAACGCAAATTCACTGATGCTCCAGGCGTTTAGCATTTCAATTCCTGAAGGATTCAGCAGCGTTTTTGTCAGAGGTGATTTAACTCGCATCAGTTAGCTGTGCTATTTAGAGAGGTAATTAGACACAGCTGAGGCCAATTCAAGAGTGGGACTTTAACAAACCACGTTACTGGAACTGCAGCATTTATGATAAGCAAACGCGAGCAGGACTGCGTGTCCATGGGACGTATCAAAGTCGTCTCGTAGCCCACGGCTGTTTAATGCATACTGCACAGTAAAACAACAAGCACACAGCTTTTCTTATCAGCCCGCCTGCAAACAACAAGCGAAGATGAACTAATGGATTTCTGGACTAAATGGACAGTTTTTGGTCAAAACAAGATGCAAAACTATTTAAGGAAGCAATGTCTTTATAATTTAATAAATACCAATTTGTATAATACTTAAAAAATAGAGTAATGTTTTTCTGGCACGAAAACAATGAGGTAACACATTTACACTAAATACAACCAATAAAATAATTAAATAATTTTTTTTAAAGAAATTAATACTTTGATTAAAAAAGGATA